ATCTCACAAAATGACAGAAGCACGATTGGTTCTGGTTCTGTTCCACTGATGATTAAATGTTTGAGTTTATCCTGAAGAACCGACCCGCTGGTCCGTCTGCGTTTCCACCTCAGATTTTAACGTTTGTCTGTTCAGGAACTCTGACCCAGAATGAGATGATTTTCAAGCGGCTGCATCTGGGAACCGTCTCCTACGGCACCGACACCATGGATGAGATCCAGAGCCACATCATCCAGTCCTACGCTCAGGTGAGCCACGCCGCCATCAGAGCATATTGGTTCTGCTCCTCTTCTAGGTGGAAAACCATTTTTCTCAATGAAGCTGAGGTGCTGCTGGTTTAATTCCCAGTCTGTGCTGGTTTCCTTCTTCAGCAACAAAAGCAGGTCTGTAGAAATGATTTAGAGCCGCTGGGATTCACAGGAAGGTCTGATATATCGGTTCAGTGTTTAATGCATTTTTATTTTATTTTTTCAAAGTTGAGAGAACTGCGGCAACCAGCGGACCTCCAAGGGTAATGGCAGCCGGGGCTAACGTTAGCATTAAATCGATAAATGGCCCCCATAGTGATGCCTAAAAATAAAATGTTTTCGCCTCAAATGATCTTAAAACTTACTTTTATAGAACAAAGGCAACAGAGAGGAGAACTTTTAACTTAATACTCTGATTTCCGTTAGCGCTAACCTGGAAGCTGCTGCAGTGCATGCTGGGAAGTGCAGTGCAGTCTGGAGAACGGACAAGTCTGCTCTGATGCATGCTGGGTAAAGAGGGAGGGGCCAGAACAACATCCGGGGACTTTGTCCGGATGTTGTTATGGCTGAGGCTGATGACGTTTCACGAGGACGCACAAGTACATATATTGAGAAACAGCCAATGAGAAGAGAGTCAGTGGGCGGGGCTAACGTTGATTGCTGAGTTCTGGATCTCCTCCGCCACACTAAGTCGTCTCATGAACTCATCAGAGGTTTCAGTCTAAGCTAGGGATGGTCCGCTTTAACCCTCCCTCTTTATTGATAAAGATTCATTCCATAAATAAATGAAGACGTTCCCATCAGTGCGTCTCTAATTTCTAACTATCTTTATTGTGAGTTAAGATTTTTGACCCTAAAACAAACTCCTCCAGTTGGACATCTGTGGAGGTCAGAGTGGTGAGGGGACCAGCTGCTGGGCCGGCCCTCAGCGGCCCCTGCTGGTACCTCCTTCTGTCTGAAGTGGATCTCCTTCAGGTGATGGAGATGGAGGCAATAATCCAGCTGGAGAGGCTCTCCGATTCACAGAAAGATTCCTGAAATCCCCGCTGACACGTTTCTGCTCCGCTCATAAACAGGCGTTCACTTTTCCTTCTCTGAAAGTCAGCTTCCTGTGACTCATCCCTTCCAGCTAAAGGGAGAAGAAGACCTTTCAAACTTGGAGTCTAAATCCCGGTGTGTCCCTCGCCTCCGTTTCCTGCCCCGTCACTCTGTTTTCAATCAGTTTCTTTTTGACGAGGGAATTCCGGGAAAGCTGCTCGTATTGTCCATTCATTGCTTCGGGTCCCTTCGGGTTTTCCTCGCTGGGTGGCTCGGATCCTGCTGCGGTCGGGACAGAATGATATTGTTCGCCGCGGGCCGAACAGCTGCTGGAACCATCTGCCCCCCCGCCCTCATGGGTAATCTCTGTTAATGAGGGAAGACTCTGAGCGGCCTAAACGTTCCGGAGCCGCTCTGCTCGGCTCAGCCCTGTCGGTGGCTCTTCTCTCCTTTACCTGCTTCCCCTCTTTGGGTCGTCAGTCCAGTTAGGAGCAAAATGTTTCCTTCATCAAGAATTCAGATTATTTTCCGAGATTGTTTAGTTGCACCTGATCTCGTAACACAATAAGTTTGTCAAAACCGGTCCTGTAGAAACTTTGATCTAAAATGAAACCTAAGCCTTCATTATATTTCAGGTCAGCTCTCAGCCGTCAGGGGGCGGCGCCGGAAGCAGCGCCACGCCGCTACGGAAGAACCCGCCGTCTGGGCCCAAGGTCCGTAAGAGCGTCAGCAGCCGCATCCATGAAGCGGTGAAGGCCATCGCCCTGTGTCACAACGTGACGCCCGTCTACGAGTCCCACGCCGCCGTAAACGGTGAGGCGGAGTCTGCGGAGGCCGACCAGGACTTCAGCGACGACAACCGGACGTACCAGGCCTCCAGTCCGGACGAGGTAAAGATGCGTCTGAGAGAAACCAAACGCAGAAATGATGAAAGTTTGGGCTAAGACTTTAAAAAATTTACTTAATTTGATTGGCATGCTTTCTATGGAGCTACAATAATATGGAGTGAATTTTGTGCCAGTATTGTTTAAAAAATAATAATTTTTGTAAATGGTGGGAAATTTTGCAATCCAGAAATTAAACTTACAAAACTTGTTGATTGAAAGAAGAAAAAAAATTAATAAAACTGTGTTTTCTTCACAATTTTTTCAAATCTCTTTTTCAGGTTGAATTTTAGAAAAAAAGGATTCTATTCAAATGTTTTTTTTTTACAGATCAATTGCATTGACTTCAGTCAGAAAAAAGAAAATTGGAAAAAAAAAATATAAAAAAATAACGTTAAAAAAAACTAGAATACAAAAAATGAAAATGCGTTTAATTTTTGATATGTAATTTTTTTTCATTTGCAGAATATGTTCTTTACTTGCAACAATAATGGAACAGTAATCACTTCTCCTGTTTCAATGTTTATTGGCTGAATCTCAAAGGTCACAAACCCCTGTAGGAGGTTAATCCGTTTAATTATCGCTGTCCGCTTCCTGGGGGACTTATTCCCCCGGACGGGAGGCAGAAAGCCGCTGGTTCCCTGAAGGCATCTTAACGGCTTTATGTGCGAGACGGAAGCCGAGGAACCGGCCAGGTGGAACGCACAGAAGAACCTCTAATTAAAGCAGAGTTAATGTTTACGTTAACATGAGAGAATAAACGGGAGGTTTGTCAGGCTGGACTGTTTAGGGGAAGTTTAGTGAAGCTCACAGGAGAAATATTTTGCATGTAAACTGAAGATGCTCGGTGTTGGTTTCCTCCGTCGCTGCTCCGCCTTCCTCCTACGTTGATCAATATTTAATTTTCTCTGCAGGGCAGAAAGACGTCGCCTTCTTTTTTTGTCCTCCTTTTTATTCATCTGTCTTTTTATTTCCTTCTGTTTGGGTTGAAGTTTCAGATCTCTGTCACCGAGCCGCCGTCATCGCTCTGATTATAGGGTTTCCGCGGGTCATTAAAAATCATTAAAAGTTATTAAATGGC